GTTCAAAGATTGTTTATTTATCTTGTTTTCTGTATTAATTCCATCTTGTTTTCTGCTGTGTGTGTTTCTGACTTGTGGATGGAAAATAACTAAAATAAAACTCAGAAAACTGAAATATTTAGTTAATTATGGCTCAGACGGATTCAAAATTTCGTTTAAAATCTGAAGATAAATTCATCGTTTTCATCAAAAATCATCAAATCGGGAGAAAAAAAGTGAAACTTTAAACCAGGAACTGATCAAATTAGCAAATAAAAATTAAATAAAGCAACAAATTTTTCAATAAAAGAAGCCGTGTTGATTTATTTTCCATTTATTGGACAAACGTGCACACGTCGCTGGGAGAGAGACGAGGTCATGAAGATCTGCAGGTGTTTGACTGACAGGTGAACAGATTCATCCTGAATCTGACGCCTCAACGTTAGAAAACATTTCAACAATATTTACACGTCTGGAGGAGTCAGGAGCTCCATCTCTACCTGACGGTTTGTTGCAGCCGAGAGTCTGAGTCTGTGGAGCGAGAGCCCCCTCTGGTGTTCAGGCTCAGTACTGCAGCGTCTTTGATTTAAACACGTTCTCTGATGTGCCTCTATTTTTAAGTTTTATTTTTTGGTTTCCTTCCCTGCAGTTCTTTGGATTCTGCAGAACAATCATCAGCATCAAAGGTTAACTGAGTTCACAGAAGAAGTAAACAGAACCGGTGAACCCCCGTGACCCAAACGAGGATTCACCAAAAACATCCACRGGAACGGAGGGCAATAAAAACTAAAGCTGAGGTTCATCTGAGCAGAAACTATAAAGCTGACACTTTAGTGTGACCACGTGACGGTTTCACATAAACTGAGACTGCAGGACAAAAAAAAAAAAAAAAAAAAAAAAAAAAAAAACAGGCCCCTGCTGGTTTAACAGGAAGTATCTGAGGAAACAAAGAGGAAGTCGAAGCAGCTTCTAACAAATCAGTTCAGCTGCTGTTTCAGCTGCCGGGTCACTTCAACAGCTTTAGATTTAAGGCAGAACTGGTGTCGGTCATATCGTACCCACGCTTTGTGTCGAGCCGTTAACATTTGGTCTGCRGCAGTTAAAGTTTGACGCCTGAGTGTGAAACTGAACAAACATCAGTTTAACAGAACTGTCCCTTCAAGCTCTGTTCAACCCTGCGTGTTTCAGCTGTTTCCCTGCTTCAACACACCTGGTTCAGGTGATTTAATCACCTCTTCATAATGTCATCAAGTTTAACAGACACCTGTCAATCACTCGTTCATGTAAATCWGGTGTGTTGAAGCAGGGAAACAAACATGCAGGACGGTGGGTCAGGAAGACCTCTGCTCTAGATGAGTGGTTTTTCAATTCCGGTCCTCGTGACCCACTATCCTGCAGGTTTTAGTGGTTTCCCTGCTCTTCAACAGGTCTATACGTTCTGCAGAAGCCTGTCAATCATTCATTTGGATCCTGATCCACTGTGAACAGGCATCTCYGTGATCTGGACAGGAATGAGCTGAATCTAAAATGTAATTATTAGGCTGTTTTTGTTTCCTGGGTGCATTTTTATTTGCTTTTGGTGAAGAATGGAGGCTGGACTGGAGAGCATTGAAAACCTTAGATGCAAATGGTGGCTCACATCCTGCACTGCACTGTGCTGTAAGGATGTTTGTGTTTGTTGTCTTCTGRCTGACGCTGGCAGCCGAGCTGTGGCTGTAGCGCAGCACAGGCTCGTGCTTCGGTTTAGGCATTCATCCTCTGCGCTTACGTTGTTGTAGTATTCTCCAAAAYGACATGCAGCAGAGCACGTTATAACTTATRAAATKTTGTAAATAGGAGWGCAAAAGCTTGATGAACAAACAAACTGTTTAAATGATGCAGCCTTGCGGGGCACTTTTGGCGCACGCACCCTCACCGTGTTCAACGCATCAACTAASCCGGCTTCAGTATCAAATCCAAGATATGTCTGTAAATCCCAGGCTTTAGTTATCCCATGTGAATAAGGCTTTACTTGACCTAATACGGCAAATAAAACAAGGCATTTATTGAATTATTGCAATAAGCAGCTGTCGGGACTGAAAGTCTTCTTAAAGGGATCCATGATTACTTGTAACATTAGACTTTATTTGATAAACATTTATTTTTACTGTAAAATAAAGACTGTAAAATAC